GCCGCTTTTCCCGGGGAGGGTATCAAGGGATTCTTTCTAGCCTAGCCTCCTAGTACTCCGTGATTATGGCACCTGCCACATACGCCCGGCTAATTCTTTTGTATTTTAGATAGTGATCGGGGTTACACCATGTTGCCAGGATGGGTCATCTGAACCCCGTCACATTCGTGATCCGCCCTCGCCTACCAACAGGCACACACACAGAGTGACGCGCCAGCCACGGCCCATTTCTTTATATGTTTCACACGCGGGTCATTTGGACACATCAGCGTAACTCCGCAGGCCAGGCACACAACAACAACAGCCTCCCATAACCGTATTACGGGACACATTCGGAAAACAGGATGCTGGCGAAGCCGCTGGACCCTAGGAGCCAGGGGTACCCACACAAGTCGCAGGCCCGAACTGCGAGCGCTCACAGCCGCATACACCTGTGAAAAAGACTCTTGGGGAGGGGACATTTTTTTTTTATCATTCTCAGAACGCCGCGACTCATCCAGCCGCGGAACCGCCCCCGCCCCACTTATTACTTGCGATCCTTGCACTTGCCGCCGCTGACCTCCAGTCCCAGCACCGCGCTCGCGGGGCGGGGCCTATCCGGGAGAACAACAGAGAGGGGCGGGGCGTCCGGCAGTGGGGCGGGGCGTCGGGAATTGGGCGGCCTCCGGTTCCCAGGACGTTTCGCCGCTCTGGCACGGTCCCTGGAGGCCAACGGCAGCTCGTCACTCCGCAGTCTCTGGACCGAGCGTCATGGCGCGCGCCCGACTGGAGGGGGGGGGCGGAAAACGACTGGTCTCCCGTCACTCTTCTGCCGACTGCTGCGGTGGGCGGGCCGGAAGCCGGCGCAAGCCTCGTGCGGCGTCCGTCGCGGGCGCGGGGGCCGCCCACGGTTCCCGTAGCGGCCGAGAGCGGCCAGCGGGTCCACACCAGGTCGTGTGTTAGGAAACCTGTCTCGCCTGGCTTCCTTCTTTTTTTTTTCTTTTTCTTTTTTTTGAGGACCCAGTCCTCGCTCTTCTCCAGGCTGAGTGCATGGCGTGATCTTGGCTCCTGCAATCTCCGCCTCTGCTAGCGTTCTCTGCTCAGCCCGGCAATTTTGTATTTTTAGTAGAGGGGGGCTCACCTATGTGGTCAGGCCTATCTTGGACTCCGACTCAAGCGGTGATCCACCCCTCGGCTCCCAGAATGCTGGATTTACAGCGTGAGCCCCCGTGGCCCGGCCCAAACTGGCTTCGGTCTTCCTTAACATAAAATTTAGGTTGAAATTCATTTCCGAAGACCTAGAAGAAGGCCCAGGAATGCCGGGTTTTGCCCAGCAGCTCTTCATTTTCCTGCAAACGCCTTGGTGTTCACATGGGAAGGCAGCCCGGGTAAAGGTCGAAGTCCTCCCTTACTTGGCCAATGGGCGGATCCTTTTTTTTCTTTCCTTTTCTTTTTTTCAATTTGCAACATGTTCAAGTTTTTATTACAAATGTGATCTTTTGCCAGGAGCAGTGGCTCACGCCTGTAATCCCAGCGCTTTGGGAGGCCGAGGTGGGCAGATCACCTGAGGTCAGGAGTTCGAGAACAGCCTGGCCAACATGGTGAAAACCAGCCTCTGCTAAAAATACAAAAAATTAGCCGGGTGTGGTGGTGCACACCTGTAATCCCAGCTACTTGGGAGGCTGAGGCAGGAGAATCGCTTGAACCCCGGCGGTGAGGTGCCAGTAGCCGACGATCGGGTCGCCATTCGCATCCAGCCTGCAACAAAGACGTGAACTCATCTCAAAAACAAAGAAAAGAGGCTCGGAGCGACAAGGAGGAACAAGCACAAGGTATACACACAGCATACATATTTGGAAAAACACCGAGACGGGCATTCATGAGGCAAGAATGAGATCCGGAGACCCATCCTCCCTAACACAGTGAAACCGATGACACGCTCTAACAAAAAATACAAAACACTAGCCGCCGAGGTCTGGCAGCGCCTTCGTAGTCCCCAGCTAAACATCGGAAGGCTGAGGCCAGAAAAGGCGGAACCGGGAGGCGGAGCTTATCAACGTGAGCTGAAATCCAGGACCACCTGCCTCCAGCCTGGGTATCAAGCGAGAAACATACCAACCAAAACACACAAAACAAAAGGAAAAAGAAAAAAGTTTTAAGTTAATGTCCTCCCAAGGAAAGAATTGACAATTCTTTTTGACCGTGTTCTGCAAAGTAAAAAAAAAAAAAAAAAAATTTTTTTGAAACGAGCTCAACTCAGGAGTTTCAAGAAGACAAAATCTCCTGCCTCAGCCCTCCCAAATTCTGCTTCCAGTCTCAGGCGCCCTAAGTGCGGGACTTAGCACACGCCACCACGCTGGGCTAATGTACTTCTAGTAGAGATAGAGGATATATTCACACATGAACAGCAGCTGGTCTCAGAACCCTGACTTCAATGATCCCACCTGCCTCAGCCTCCCAAAGTCTTGGGATCCACAGGAGTGAAACACTGCGCCTGGCCCAAAACTAATCTTACATCCATAAGAATAGGAAACGCAACTTAGAGCTCTGCCCATTCAACTCTGGTACAATTTGTGACAGTCCTACCCGATCCTAGTACCACATTTAATATGTCAAACCAGCAAATCTCTAATCCGGCGCGCGTCGGCCAGCCGGTAAGGGGGCGCCCAGCGAGGCGGGGGGGAAGCGCGGGGGAGGCGGGCGACATGAGGTCAGGCGACATTGGAGACCTCCTGGCTAACACGGTGAACTTCCGCTCTACTAAAAAATACCAAAAAACGCCAGGGGAGTGCGGCGCTGCAGCCCAGCTACTCTGGAGCTGAGGGGCCAGAAACTGGGCATAAACCCGGACGGCGGAGCTTGCAGTGCGAGATCCGGCCACTGCAACCTCACAGCCTGGCGACACAGCGGACTCCGGGCTCTCACAAAAAAAAAAAAAAAAACAAAAAAAAGAAAGCTCTAAACAAAAGCCCCATATTATCCTGACCCTGTTTAGCCCTCACTGAATCTCAGGAAATCATCTTTGACATTCAGCATGAAGGCTTAGAGAAGAAGCGGAAACGATAACCTCTATGCTTGTTTAAGGGCGTATTTTTTCTATCTGATCTACATTCTGTCACTTTTCTTCCGAAATATCACTGCCAACCTCCTCCAGATTTGCGCTCAGCGGCTAATTTTGTATTTTTTAGTAAGAATGGGGGTCCTCAATGTTGGTCCAGCCTGTCTTGAACTCCTGACCCCAAGAACCACCCACCTCCAGCTTCCCAACAGTGCTGGGATTTACCAGCGCATGAGCTCTCGTACAGCGAAAATTACACTCTTCCCCCACTGCACACTTTGCAAGTTTCGTGTCAGCCAGCTTCAAGGACCAGCCTGGGCAACAAACAAATAACCCTCTCTTAAAAAAAGTAAGACAGAAAAACTGCTGGGCATGAATACCCGCACACCCTGTAGTCCCCCAACGCAGGGAGGAATCCTTCTAGCCTGGGAGGTCAAGCCAGCAGAGCCCGTGGTGGCTGCCACCTGCACCCCAGCCTGGCACTGACGTAGCCTAGAATTAGTTTCAAAATAAATATATAAATATAATAAATCTTAGGAATTTTAATTTTTATTTTTTATTTTGAGCGTGTTTTCGTCTTGTTGCCCGGCTAAGTCATGGCGCGATTCGCTCACCAGAGACACCTCTGCCTCCCGGGTTCAAGCAATTCTCCTGCCCTCAGCCTCCCCCGAGTGCTGGAATACAGCATCGCCAGCACGCCCCTGGCTAATTTTTGTAGTTTTAGTAAAGACGCGCTTCTCCATGCTGGCAGCGTGGCTGGCCTCAAACTCTCCCGACCTGAGGTGATCCGCGCGGGCCTTGGCCTCCCTAAAGGCTGTGATTCATAGGCGCTGCCATGGCCGCCCCGGGACCGAATTTCATTTTAAATCATTGCCATTACAAGCAATATGGGGGGTGTATTTAAACAGGCTTTTTACATTTTACTTTATCTTAATTAATTTTTTATTATTAAATTATCATTACAATTTTTTTTTTATTTTTTTTTTGAGACCGAGCTCGCTTCTGCTTCGCCGGTGATGCAGTCCGATCTCAGCCACTGCAAGCTCGCCTCGGGTTCACGCCATTCTGTCTCAGCTCCGAGTAGCGGGCTACCCACAGCGCCCTGCCATCGCCGTCTAGTGTTTTGTATTTTTTAGTAAGACGGTTTCACCGGGTTAGCCAGGATTGTCGATCTCTGATCGTGACCGCTCGTCCGGGCTCACCAAAGCTGGCATTACAGCCCTGAGCCACCCGCGCGCTTCATAGATAATTCTTTTGAGACGAGCTCGGCCTTTTGCCCGCGACCCCTGGACGTGCAGCTGCGGTGTCTCCCCTCACTGCAGACCGGGTTCGCCTCCCTGCGTTCAAAAACGATCCTCCCTGCCTCAGCCTTCCAACAGGGTAACTGCGGGACACAAGGCACTAACCACACGGCCGGTCCTGATTTCTATTTTAGTAGGACAGGGTTTCCACCATGGCCCCCCAAGCGTCTCGAACCCTGACCTTTGTGGCCCGCCCCACCCCCTTGGCCTCCAAAAATGCTGGGAGCCCACCGCCCCCTGGCCCAACAGGCCTCCCTTCTAACCGAGCCTGCTCTTTTACTCTCAGCGACAAAGTGGGCCCTCCATCACACGGTGTCCGGCTCTGGAGTGGTTCCGATGCCCGAGATCTCATGCGGTGA